GTCTAGACCGAACTCCTTATAAGAGCCTTGGCAAATGGCAGCTCTACCAGGCACCCCTACTGTTACATTTTAAAACTATGTTACGTTTTCAAAACTAAACTTCAGTTTAGTTCAGTTTAAACTGACCATAAAAGATAGAATTAAACTAAATGCCAGAACTCCCTTTGAGTGATAACAAATCTATCACAGTGTGAGTGCAGATTCCTGGAGACACCGGGAATCAGTGACAAACACACATGAAGAGTCAGAGATAAGTGGGAAGAAACTAGACACACTGGTGGCACATGAAACACGTCTGTCTCCATCTGATGATGCTGTAGATAACAAACATAATGTTGGGGCCATGAAATTTGACCTTAACAGTTCACTTATGTACACCCACTCTGTGTTTGTGTTGACCATTTCTTTTCACAGAGCCTTTTTTCAAAGCTGAAGTTTTCAAAAACAGCTTGTGGAGTAATTACAGAGCTTTTGCCCTTTGGAACCTTCCTCCATCAGATAATGAAGCAATAATGATTACATAATGTTTCTTTTATGAAAACCCAATAGACTAGTCGCGGCAAAACACGAGCTATGCGCTGTGTCAGCTGACAGCTAGCTTATCATACCCATCAAATCTCAGTGCACTGATGTGGTAGTCTAGTTAAAGGCCTTCATGCTCATAATCACTATTGGTGCTTTGCTGCTGCTGCTGCTTCACAAAAGCCTCCACAGCCTCCACCTCGTTTGGCTCTGCTATTTTCTATCCTCCCTGCTGAGGTTGGATCATTACGTTAAATACGTGACTATTCTTTGCTGTTCTCCCTCCAGGCTATTGTTATTATGTGTTGTCTACTCAGTTATGTTGTACTGCTGCCTCATGGAGCCTTACCAACAGCAGATCCATGCCGCCAAGTCAAATAAACGTATTGCCATCTCCGACTGCAATACATGACATCAGACCCTGATAAAACAATGGTTACTGGCAGTGACCTCATTCTACCTTCATGCATGGTAATGATCCTAGAGAGGATGTGAGGGCGAGACTTTGGTGGAATGAAAATAAGTGGTAATTCTGGCATATCTTGTACCTTACAGGCAAGAACATAAAGATCTTGATTATTATACTCAACTATTCCAGCATTTCTTATAAGAGTTTAAAGGAGTAGTTTAACATTTTGGGAAAGATGCATCCTTGCCAAGAGTTAGATGAGAGGGCTGATACCGCTTTTGTATTTGTGCGGTAAATGTGTAGTTTGAGCCAGCAGCCGTTAGCTTAGCTATTAGCAAAAGAACTGAAAACAGTCAGAAACAGTTAGCCTGACTCTGCTCAAAAAGTCCACCCACCAGCACCTCTAAAGTTCACGAATAAACACATTCAGTCTATCCATTTATGGACCAATCAGCGTCTTTTGAGGAGGCAGCTACGACGATGAGCACCAAGTGTGACGAAGCAAAATGATACTGTTCATTAAACAACAATGGCAGCTCCCATAGAGATTTTATCATTGAAAGAAGAGCAAAGAACGGCACCGAAGGCTTTTCTTGATGGAAAAGATGATTTTGCTCTTCTCCCTTATGGTTTGTTGATCTGATTGGTTGAAACGTAATAGACTATTATAGACTGTTGGTTCATCCAATCACCTGCCAAGCATTTTTTGAAAGCACCTACCCTTTTTCTAACATTTTCCAACAAAGACTTTTTCCAGATGGTTCTGTGTAAAAAGCTAACCAGCTTCCGGCTGAGGCTCATATTTACAGCACAGATGGTGGTATCAGTCTCATCATATAACTCTCTGCAAAAAAACAAGTTGACATATTTCCCGAAATGTCAAACTATTCCTTAAGGAGGCAACTGTGTAACAACTGCATTTTACAAACTTTCAGTTTCTACAACTGTAGGCTACATGCTTGCACCCTCCTTTAAATCAATCTTTTTGTGTGTTTCGGTTTCCATACAGACATTTAAAATAAATATTAACAATTTCAAAATGTGTCGATGACCAAAGTAAATTATGTATATGAAAACTACATTAGCCAATTAAAAAATTAAAATAACTGCATAAGCTACTGTATTCCATTATCCTCACTGCTCCTCTTTTTGTATGTCTTCTTCTATTTAGTTTGTTCCGTCTTTTATCTTTCAGTCTAACATGAAATTTCATTGGATCTTATCTATCTATAACTATGTGGATATTTTTGTGCTTTTATGGTTCCTCTAAGATTAATTCATTTATTTGCAGTCGGGGTTTAGAAGCTCTGGTGAAAAAAATAATTAGACCCTCAGACAAATAATATAGATTATAAAGAGATGGTTCAAATTGTTTCTGTGTAATTATGTTTCATCCACCACTTTGCAGTACATTCATGCTTTTAAGCCTCCTTAAAGGCTGATTAGAGCTTAAAGAGGCCTCAGGCTGCTTTTTATTATTCCCACTTATTCTACAAATAAATCATTTTCTTATTAATCCGGTTTCCTCAAGAACTGCCATGACACATTAATATGGAAAAATCTCAGTAATTTATTTCCTCAACCAATATGATTTGAGACACATACTGTATTAAATTGTCTGTGTAACAATTTAATTAACAGTAGCCTACTGTTACAAATTGGTTGAAATACTCTTATTTTACAATATCTTTAAAACCAGTGGTGCTGACTTTTTTTTCTAGAACCATTGTATGTCCACTGAGTTATGAATATATGCCAAAGGTCAGAGCTATCCTTATGTCAATAAGCTATCAAATAAATAAGAGGAAAAGAAGCAACAGACTTTGACCTTTCTGGTGTTTTACATTTTAGTGGAGACTTAATGTCCTCGGTCTCAGATAGACCAACTTGTCAATTACGTTAGTTGTGTACTCTTGGCACCAATCAGATTATATCTCTTCTTAGCCAATGGGGACAAAGCAAGCTAGTTGACTGGGTGTGTTGTGTTGGAGTTTAAACTTTGGACCAGAGAAGAAGAGCTGAGAGATACAGTGGAGTCCCTTCGGGAACGGAGACAAAGCTCCAGTACAAAGTAAATTGGATATTTTGGCTGGATCGCTGTGGTCCTAGGGGTTTGTTTGGTGTGCCAAGCATGGACACTACGGAGCACTACCGAGACCAGGTAAATAACTAAATTCTATACTTTTTATTGCATTGTAGTTTGCCAGTTATGGTTTACCGGGGCAAACCCACAGAGCAAAGTTCAGGCTTGAGAGCAAATTAAAAGCCTAAATCAAAATCTTCTGGCTTCCAAAATCAGACAAATGGTAGAAATGGCAATGAAAGTATAGAATTATTACAGAAAAATGGTCACAGAGACCGACACATATCTAGGCAGATTGGGGAAACATATTGTACGGTACAGTGCGTTCAGGGAGGATTGTGGCAGTAAATGGCAGTCCCCAGCTGTGGCAGTATATGAAACCTTTATATTTTTGTTGCTGGTTCTAAAAGGATGAAAGACAGTACTATGTGTGACATTAAATGTCATGATCTCATTTCAGGGTTGTGATGGCATTGAGCTGCTCGACTGGCTGTTTGATCAAAACGATGGAATTCTCCGTCATGAGGAAACAGGACGGCATGGCAACCATCACACCTGGCCAATCCAGGACCCAAATGTGCGTGAGACTGTGGGATCGCTAATGTCACTCATGCGTGCTGCAAATAGTTGTTTGCTTTGTATCCACTGTATAGTTACTCCTTCACATACTCTGTAGGTCTTTGTCTGTTTTTTAAAAGACTGTCCCATCTCTCGCCATGTTGTCATCTCACACAGACAGACTAATGATAGCACTTAGTGTTTTCACCCACCAGATGCTGCAGCCGGCCGGACAGGCAGACGATGACTTCCTCAATGCCCTCCTGACGGGAAGTGATTCTGTGTCAGGCTCACCTCTCTGGTCCCCTTCTCACAGTGACAGCGGGATTAGTGAGGACCCTCCATCAGACCAGATGGACAGCCCTCAGCGCCCAGAGAGCCCCCCAGGGGACGCTCAGTTTTTCAGTACGGGGCCACAGTCAAAGGCAGCCCTGGAAGCCAACGTCTCAATTGACCTCAGTGAGTTACAAATATCCACAAGAAAAACAGTAAATCATTGTGAAAATGTAATTGACTAAGCTCTATCTGGTCGTGAGCAGAGAATGATCAATGGGGAAAAAAAAGTGAATTCGGCATTTCAGTCACAATATCCAGCACATGAATCTCTGGATCTCCTGCAACACGGAGCATAAAGTGGGATGGCATTCATTATTTGTGACTGTGTACAAGAGCATTCAAACTATCAAAGACACTGGCGTTATTGCCGTCAAAAACAAAAGGTACCAAAGACAGTAATTAGTATTTGCGTAACATTAAAGCTCCAAATGTCTTTTGTTGTTTTTAAATTTTTATTGTTGTTTGCCACATAATCCAAACACTGACTCTAGCATGTCATATTGATCTTTGTTTGCATGGACTTTATGTATATTCCTGTGTCTGTGTGGGTGCAGATGGCTGGGAGCCCACCTTCCCAACGGGCAGGACAAGGATTACACAATATCCCTCAGATGTACATAGACCGCAGCTGTCCTCTGGCTTCCCGCTAACTGTCAAGGATCTGCTACTGTCTGGCACACCGGAACCCGTAAGTGTATCCTGGTTGTGGTGGGAGTTTGACAGTTGGTGTGGATGCTACAGTAGGGGTGGGGGGAGAGTGATAATGTGTTATGTGTTTGTGCATCTTTCTTTGGCTGCTTGACTCATGCATAGGGCCTGTTGTTTACCTTTTGTGTAAGTCAGTGTGTGTGTATTTTGAAAAAACAAGTGGGTGACTACACTTGCTGAAATCATGCATTCAGGGAGGAGTGAGGCATTTGGAATAGCAAATGAAATTCCTATTTTTTGTTTGTTGTAGGAAGGTTTGCTGAGCATGCACAAACCTTCCCAGCAGCACTGGGGTTTGTATGTTAAAACACATACGAGGAATACACAGAAACATTTAAGATACTGTTGTGTTGAAGTCGATATTTCCCTTGAACTTCCCCAGAATTGGTTAGTTCCTTTATGATTTTTGAGATGTGACCTTTAATAGGTGCGCAAAGTTTGCATTTATGTAAAATTACTCAGTTATATTTTGTGTAGAGAAAGTTTTTTGCTGCGTCATACATCCATCCATTAGTTTTACCCACTTATCCTTTAAAGGGTGGCGGGGGTCTTGATTTGATCCCAGCTGACATTGAGCGAGAGGCAGAGTACACCTTGGACTGGCGACCTGCCATTCACGCTCACATTCATACTGACAGGCCATTTAAAGTTGCCAATTAATGAAACTGGCATATCTTTGAACTGTGGAAGGAAATTGGAGAACCCAGGCACAAGGACAACATGCAAACTCCGCACAGAAAGGCCCCAGCTGGCCAGCACGCTTGAACCCAGACGGTGACCGTGCCAACCACTGTTGCAATTATACTTGTCATAATCATTTAATTCCCAAACAAAATATTCCTAAAAGTGGAGGTCGCCAGGTCAATACAGAAGATCGCCACAAGATTAGTAATGTGTTTGTGCTTCTGAAACTGGAGGGTATACAGCAGTTTGGATTTCAGCTCACTCCGGTTATTGATCTCATCATCAAGCTTAATAAGATGAAGGAAAGAGTGACAGTAGGCAACTTAGGTTCTGGCACCATAATTGCTTTGAGGTAGCCATGAAATGAGAGTAATGAAGGTGGCCTGATAGTCTGCACTCATTTAACTACTTTTTGTGAGGCTCTAGGGAGAAAGGTGTGGTGGAGAAGGAGGAGAAGAAAGAGGTGTGGGGGCAAGTGGAAATTAAATCAAACAGCAGTGACTATGTTTTAAATGTTAGTATTCATATCTCGCCACCAGCCTCCACACCCATCCCAACAGTCCATCCAAGAGTTGATTCTCAATGAAGATGAGAAGAAGCTTTTAGCAAAGGAGGGGGTGAATCTACCAAGCCAACTACCTCTTACAAAGGTAAATTTCCATAAATACCTAAACAATGAAAACAACCACCAGCTCCCAGAGTTTATCCCGTGGAGACTCAAAATGTAAATCTTCCTTCCTTTGTCAATCAGTACGAAGAGAGGATTTTGAAGAAAATACGCCGAAAGATTCGCAATAAGCAGTCTGCCCAGGAGAGCAGGAAGAAGAAGAAGGAGTATATTGATGGGCTGGAGAGCAGGTAAGAATCTAATTTAAGTAAGAGTAACAAGAGAAATGGTTATTGTTCTGCATGTGTTTGCATCATAACAACATATTCAATATGTTAACCATTTTCCAAAGCACACTGTGAATTTCTTGATTGTTTTCCTGCTGTACCATCCAGGAAGCCATTGGTGTGTTAATTTCAGCACATTATGAAAGTCCCTATTAGGGTCCCATGTGCCAGCCCTGCAATGTAACTGTGGTTTGATTCTGGTCTTTGTCAAATGCTCCCCATATTATTATTATTATTGTTATTAGTTGTCACAGAAAATATTCTGTGCAAAAATTGTATTTATTTTGCAAGGTGCAGATGCTTTTCTTCATTGAGTTTGATTGTCTATAGCCCCAGCACCACACTGAAGCCTGATACCGGAGGAGTGGTGTTTTTTTTTTCTATTTTTCACCTTGCTTCAGATCTGCAATCCATTTTATCATCAGTTTTGTGTCAAAGTTACAGTTGTTATTACATGGTATTTGTGAGCAGGGATAGTTAGAAAGCCCACATTTAGTGGATGATATTTGTACATACTGGACTAAACCTAAAAACCAAACTAAATTTCCTGAATGAAGAAGGAAGCTTTGAAATGTTTCCTGAACAGGTTGTGTTCCAGTGGGTTTGAAATTATGATTGCCTAATGGAGCAATGTTTGATTCACAGATGTTTGCAGTAACAAACTAAGTGAGATCATTTTATTTTCTCATGTATTATCTCCTCTAGGATGGCTGCCTGCAATGCACACAATCAGGAGCTGCAGAGGAAAGTGTCCCAGCTGGAGAAATGCAACATGTGAGAGATTTTGAAACATGACTTCTCTTTCTATTATTCCCTCCTTTTTAATCCCCTGACAGTATTTTTGAATGACATTTCCTCCAATCAGAAACTGCCTTTAACATATTCCCTCAAACCCTTGCTAATCCAATTATTTTTCTCTGACCTTTGTCTTTCATTTTTTCCCCATCCTCTCCGCAGGTCACTAATGGAACAGTTGCGCAGGCTGCAGGCTCTTGTCATGAATACATCTAACAAGTCAGCCCAGACAGGGACATGTGTACTGGTATGGATGACCTCTGTGTGTGTGTGTGTGCAAACTGCCATTCACTCCATATGACTCATGGTTAAAAGCTTTCACCTTCATAGCGAGCCAAATCGCAACAACCGCTATAGCTAGATTAGCCATCAAGAAAGGCCAAACTAGACATGAACATAATGGACAAGACAGCACAAGACATAGTCTTCATATAAAGTGAAATACAGAATACACAGCAGCCATTCATTGCTTTTGATCACTCCAATAGAATAAAGTGCAAGACCTGAGGCAACATAAGTGGAGCAGAATTTTAAAAATGTAACTTTTAATCCATAAATATGACTGTGTCGCAGTTCGCCGTCACAGAGTGCTTTGCTTCACGAGAAGCTGAACAGTATGCACAGAGGGAATATCCAGACCACTATCCATTCAAAAGTTCAACAATGTAGAACACAGATTTTCAAGTAACAACTCTCTGTGACTTGAACCTTAAGTGTGAATGATGTACTTTCCACTGATTCCAGCCATCCTTTATCTTACTCTCTTTTTCTCCGTCCCTCAGGTGCTCCTGCTGTCCTTCTCCCTAATCCTGTTCCCCAGCCTCAAGCCCTTCTCTGACACCAAGGTCAGCCAAGGAGACTTCACTCCAGTCAGAAGTGAGTAACCTTCAGCACCAAATAGCTTTGTGCGCCCGCCTGCCAACTAATCCAGCACCTCTCTGTCACAGCTGAGGAGCTTGTTAGAACTGCGGTCTCACCCACTGCTTGAAAGGTTCTCACCTGCAGAGCCTCACAGCCTGCTCCGCCTGTCTGAGGATTTGCTGTCGACTTAAAACTTTAAAGATTAGAGCCGATGCACAGAGAACCAAGGCCATGTATTATCATTACAGTTACAGTTACAGTTAAGCTATTGCTCTGTCGCTGATAAATGACTAGTAATTATCGCTTTATTATTAGATTTATTGACACAAACCCCCACAATGTACATTTTTAATTAGGAGGCAAGGTGTAATTTGTTACCATAAGCTCTTTGACAGCCTTGAAAAAGCAATCGATGCTGCACTTTCCCTTAGTGCTAAAGGCTATGTTACAAGTTTTTAGAGGTTTAGAGTCTTTAATGTCTCTAGGCTTGAATTTGATGTACTTACAACACACAGACTTGCTTACCACGGGTGCCAGCATACTTTACATCACCCTATATGTATAAGCAGCATACAAGCATTTACTACATGGTTTGTAGCATAGTGTAATGTAGTTGTAATATGGAACTTTTTCATGAATGTACTGCATTTGTCAACAATTACAACTTATCACAAATGTTTTGATATATTGTCACTAATTATCTGTTTATACACCAGCCTCCACTTAGGGATGCCCACAGGAAGAGTTAGCAATAAAAACTTAAAAAGATACTATATCTGCTTACAACTACATTAGGGAGTGTTATAAACCATCAATTAAATCTGTACAGTAGTATAATACAGTGCTTATAAATGTGAAATTGGAGGACTTAAAGTAAAGTGTTGCCAAATACACAATAATAAGCAGAGCTCCATGTCCACAAAGGCTTGAATTTGAACTTTTCTCTCTTATTTTCACACAGTCCAGTCACGGTCCCTGCAGAACCTCCAGGCCTCCCGTGTGTTGCATGTCACTGACCCCCACTTCTCCACTGAGGATGAATCTGAGCCTCTGCACCGGCATTTCCCAGGAGACCTGGATTTGGAAGATATTACCACATTGATGGGAAAGCTGGGAGTAAACCAAGACCGGACCAGTTTGGAGCCCATGTCTCTTAACAACAGTCAGGAAGAGAGGATGGATCATTTTCATGTGGACCCAATTACTGGTCACATAGCTACTTTGACCTTGGATCCCCACCGATCTGCCAGGCTCCGACCACATGCTGATGACATGTAAAAGGAATGAATAAATTATCGCTGCAAGAATTCCCCAAACCGCCCTCCTCCCAATGATAGAACAAGGCATTATCTGGGGCTGCTGTTTACACAGACAGGGGAATTAGGTTTTAATCATTCCTGTTTTGCCTTTAATATATATGTAGTCTGTATACCTTTTCCTTATTTGTGATACTGTTTTATATATCAGTATATGGATTTAAATCTTACACTGAAATTGCCTGTCAAGATAAACTGTGTATCTTTTGCCTCCTGGCTTTGATAAAATGCCAGTGTAAATTAATGTGTTTGAGAGTGTCAAAAACTGGGTAAATAGAGCGGTGATGATGTGTACAGTTTTGATGTGAACGGATAATTCGTAAAACGTTTAAGGATTTTGAAAGCATGTTTTCTTTCAAGCTTTGATTGGATTTGTTTAGATTCATTCATGGGTAAAACTGCCTCAAATAAAAATGTCAAAGAGTGATCAGAAGGCTCAAAGCACTGTGAATTTATTATCTCTATGATGTTTTACAGCTTTAATAATTAAAAAGAACCCTTTTTAATTTTCCTGAACAGTGCCTGAAAGTGTATTATCCAGTGTCTAGACAGGCCTTCTTTCCAAAGGCGAGTACAGTAGGTTTGATGTTAGTGGATAGATGGTTTACAGAGAGGGAGACAGAAAACTGGGCCAAAGGTGGAACAGATGACCTCTTATCTCATGACTCAGACTTCTTACTCAATAATCGACATGTTGACATATTTACCCATGGAAGACAGGCTATAGCTTGTGTCCACAGCACTCAACGTGTCTGGCTTGTCAGTGCAGACCACACAGTGATGAGATGAAAGGGCTCTTATCCTCGATGCCACTTAGGTGCAAAATTCATCTAACATTTAAGGTATGACTTGTTCAGGTTGACATTTTCTCTGGTCAGCTAGGCTTAACTTCAAGGGAGGGCTGGAGATTCGGTTCTGTGATGAAATGATCCACTATAGAAACTGGCTGGTTATTAATTTATTTAGTTTTTGACTGACCTTTTGTTTCACATTAAAACAAATTCATTCGGAAACTGGAAGACTTTCTTAAGGGAATGGAAATCATACACATTATTTTGACATTTGCTTATATGGAGCGATACAATTTCAAGATTCTGCAGTTTAAAACACCTTAAACTATAAAAATGTTTTAAGGGCTAGATCTGTGTTGTAATATGATATTAAAGGCATCTTAACAAAGGGAATTTTACAACCCCCACAATACATTATAAGCTTTTCTTTGACCCACCCTTTATGGAGTTGACACATGAAGCCAATAGTTGGCTGTCAGGCCTTCAGTAGCTAACTAAATCAGCAGTCAGTTGGCTATAGAGTTATTGCAGTGTGTTCAAGTGAAGCTTTAAGACATGAGGCAACATCAAAAAAAGCCTCAGTCAGTCTTGATAGGCACTAGTTCTTTGAAACAGATGTGTCAGGGTCCTAAAGGCGTCAGCATGCTTGAACAGTGCAGTGATTGTTGGATTGTTGGATGATGGAACAGCGTTTTCCCAACAATCCTGTGGCTCAACGGCTCTGTGAAACTGTACAGTACTCGTGCTGCAATCCATTGCAAGACGGAAGTCAATAGTGTCAAGTGGGCATTTCCCACAGCCTACTGCATTTTTGCAAAGGCATCTATCAAGCACAAATCTGCTGAATGGCAGTGGAAATGGACAGGGGGTTTCACAATCAAACTACATATGGTAAACATTTGATCAGGTCATTCTGCTTAAAGTTCACTGTGTCGGTGAACTTGGGGCTAGACAGATCTTCCCAGCGTTTCTAAATTGGAATTTGACTTGAATGACCTTTCCATTCAACATTTCCGTGTCAGAAGTTGCTCTTTTTTACAAGTTTCGAGTACAATGGACTGCAGCATTAGGCACAGTGCTGCTTTGAGCTAAAGGCTACGTCAACCTGCTAGCATACTCAGCATACTCAATGACAGTGCTGACATGCTAATGTTTAGTGTGTATAATGTTTACCATGTCCACAGATTGTAGGTTAGCATACTAACATGTTAATATTAGCACTAAATGTAAAGCACAGCTTATATTAAAAATTCCACCTGATGACGACACTTGAAGAAAGATCAGAAGGTCGCCAAAGTTATTACAATTCATCTTGAGGGAACCATAAATGTAGAATAGAAATTAGTGCAATCTTATGAATGTTTACGAACTATCAATCACATCACAGATTTTTTTGTGGTTTAATAGAGAATAAAATCCGATCATCAGGTCAAATTTTACTGAACAATGAATTCTGAAATTTGTTTTACTGTTGTGTGTGATTAATGAAGAATTATTCTATGTGGCCAGAGGGTTTCATTCTTCCAATCACTGCTAATCCGATTAATTGTCACTTTTCAATTTATTAATATCTGACTTTGCTCTGGGCTTGTCTCAGGTTTGCAAACTAATAATTATCAACTATGCTGAAAATGGGAGTGTATTCTGTAAAACTTCTCATTTAAAGTAAACCGACTTTAATTAATTTAAATCGTACTGATACTGAACATCATCACTTATGTTAGGTATGAAAGTTAGCACATTTTACATGCCTATAAACACACCTTATGCTCTGTGTCAGCACAAACTGGTGATGTGTGACCTGGCTGACTCGATGTCCCTCTATCACGGTCCCCCATCTGTCCCCCTTCCTCTTTCATCTGACTTGGTCTTGTTTTTTTCTCTAATCAGGGTGAAAGTCTCTTGACCATCAGCGTCTCTAATCAGGACCTTAACCCATCACTTTGATTAACCAAATCCCTGGAGCCAGGAGGCCACTACACATGGATCGGCTCCTGCTGAGTTTAGTTAGCCATAAGGGAATGATGGGAAGACTCAGTGTCTATCACAACACCCCTCATCTTCTTTTTTAATCTATAAAATGGGCTTTTTCTTTCAAGGTGTGACGGTGACCTAGATAAACTTAGTGTATTACTTGTTTGGTGAAAGATTCCTGAGCACTGCCTGACTTTCATATTAACAAAATTGTTTTCCAATTCCACAGGAATGAAGAGGGAATTAAAACACCTAACCACACACTCAGCTTGAAAGCTCAGAGTTTAATCAATATCTCACACCTCAGAGAAGTACTAGAGCGATAAAAGTTTTATGTGCTTCTTTTGTCTTTTTTTTTTTTGTCTTGTTTTTTTGAGGCATGATGCATGTGCTCTGCTGCAGCACTAATTTTATAAAAATGCATCAGGCTAATAAGAGATAATAGATATATAAAAAAAATGTTGTTGTTTTTTTGGTTTTTTTTGTCTCTCTCCAAACCCACACAGTACTCAGTTTAATTTCTAACAACAACCAATATGTGGAATGAATGAAATGGCAATTATACCTGCAGGATAATAAACTATTGTGAAGTATAGCTGGTACTGGTACTTTGTAAATAAATGAAATTGACTATTGTAGATTAGTGTAGAGCTGGTATTAGTGTCCTAAGGTCACTTCTTTCCATCTTTACTATACACTATAAGCTGTCAAAGTATCAGCATTCGGCAACCTCTCTTAGTCTACACACAAGGCACACATCAGCACAGGAAATTATCATTGACATTGCCCTGGCATAAATTAACTGTCTGATAATGAAGGTCTCTGTGCATTACATTAACTAGTCAGCTACGCTGCTACATAAGAAATTGTGCCTCAAATACATATTATTTATACATATAGTTAACATAATCTGTTTATAACATGATAGTAAGGGTGTATTACTCAATATGAGTGAGTAATTTGTGAATTGGAATTAATTCATCAGACATTTCTGCAGCATGAAAAGGATGTGTGTCATGTACCGGTTGCCATTAGTTTGTGGTTGTGACATAATAATGACTTGGCATTTACTAATTAATTGTGTAAACTAGAAAATGTAATTAAACTATGAATTAGATGGTGGAATTAAAGGGCCCATATGTGCAGTTTCCAAGCACAGAAATAGATCAGTCGTACAGTGTAAATTTACATTAGACTGGATTACATTTACTGTCCACAATCACAGAGATTTACCTTCTCTTCTCTTCTCCTGATACAACACTGATAAAAAAGGCAACTTTTTGGGTGCCCGGTTAGCTCAGTGGGTAGAGCTGGTGACCCATGTACCGAGACTGAGTCCTTGCTGCAGCAGCCCAGGGTTCGAATCCGACCTGCGGGCCTTTGCTGTGTGTCACCCTTCTCTCTGTCCCCCTTACCTGTCTATCTTCAGCTGTGTCTATCATAAAGGCAATAAAAGCACCCAAAAAAGTACGTAAAAAAAAAAGCAAGGTTTTAAAATAATTGCCATTAGAAGTAAATACTGCAACATGTATTTACTGACCAAAAGATATATCTCTACAATCTTTTATTCTCTTCACAATTGTGTTTACCTGCAAAAATCCACTTTGTTGCCAAACAAACTATGATCCCTGTGGAATAGCTGCATAGTTGTCGAGTACAACATAATTACTCTAAATCTCACAGTGTGTGACAAACTACTGCAAACAGACACTGACTCATCGTTTTTGACAGTCTGGCAAATTAATGCAGGATGAACCAAATGCAAGTGATGACCAAATGAATAAAATCATGACTGTTTCAACAGAGATTGTGCCAGTAATATCATCAGCATTGTAACATATGTGCAGTATTTCTCAACAGAGAGTTGGTGCAGCTGTTTTGTCGTTTTGCTGAAAAAGATAAAATTACCCTTGACAGCACATTTTTACCAAGACGTGGATTGTAGCCTAAAAATGCTGCTGTAAACACTGGTCTGGAAGTCACTACAATTACTTCTGCCTCCAGTCTCTGTGTCAGAGCTGTAGGCAGGGCAAGTACTGTAAAATGTTAGCAGAGCAGACACCTTGCTCTGAATAGAAAGTATATTAAATTGGATCCAGTCCAATTGAGCAATGTTAGACACAATGTATAATTGATACACTCTTAAAGAGGTAATTAAACTCAAAGAATATTTATAGCTCTTCCCATTTTAAGAAGAGTTATATATATTTTGACTGACTCCTGGATTAAGTTTTGTTCCTGGAAGGCTGATTTGCAACAACATGTCAAAAGTATATAAAGTTTATCTGCACCTTTTTGCAAGCTGTTTTTTCCAGTATTTTCCAGGAATTGGAGGTGTTAATGAAATGCAAATCCATGCAGAACTTTCTCTTAGTTTTTCCCATAGTTATAATATTATAATATTCAAGTTCTTTAATTTGGTAAGGTACATATTAACTTATCGTAATGTCCCAGACACCAATTTCGGTTGTTTTTTATATAATTATTGCCCATAGCTTTCTAGAGGGCAACTGAATCATTAGAAAAACAAAACAGACTACACCTCAGTCCAGTCAGCTCAGATGCAGCAATGATAAAGGTGTATTTGGATGGTGGTGAGGGTGAGTCAACACACATCCTACACACAAACCCACACTGTGCAAACAAATGAAGGTTTCATTAACCGGGCACTGTGTTACCCTAGAGCTGATGGCTCCACTTGGCACTAAAACTGAACCTAAGAGCTCCATAAATAACTGTGTCACCTACTATTTACCTCAGTGTTAACAAAGGCTAAAAGTACAAATATCAGTGCAGTCTCTACAGAGAGATTTAATAACAGAAGAAACATACCAAAGAGCTCAAAGATAGGACTTGGTACATTTGGTCTATGTGAAGTGATTCTTGTGTATTTCCCTTAAATTATTAAATGAAATTATGATTTCTGGAGAACAAATAAAATTAATCTCACCCAAAGGGGTTTTCTTGGCTCAGATTTGTGCATGTAGAGTCTAAAAAAAAGGATGCATTTAAATTGTCCTTAATTAAAGCACTTTGGATTGATGTGGAGTTGTGTCTGGTCGTAGATTGAATGTTTGACAGCAGAATTGCATCCCTAGACTTGGGCCCATACCAAATATTAGCCTAACAGATGACAGTCTGAAATTGTTCTTTTTCCACCCTGGAATACTAATCATTCTCAAGGTGATCCTGACTGTGAGCCCAAGGCCAGCTCTGTGAACTGGTTGCCATTCGCTCCTTTGCAAGATTTTTATGCCATCAAAAATATGTTGGTATTCTATTAGGATTATCTCTAGCCCCACTGGGAAAAGGTAGTACTCTGTTTTAACTCATTCAAGGACAGAGCAGCTCAGCACTCCAGGCAAATAGACATCAAAACATATCCATCTAATCCATCAGTCTTAGTCAGTTTGTTCTCTCACTGAATACAAATTTGCATGACCAATCATGATGACAGCCCCAACAACCCAGGAACAGGCTGTATAGTCATACCCTAACCTCAAATTCACTTCCCCTTAGCGAATAAAAGAGTGACACAACAACAAAGACCTGGGGTCTTTGTCTTCTCTTTAGATGTGACACAATCCCTCTTGGCCTACCACAGCAACCTGAAATTATTATTATTAGTGAAGTGCCGCTTCAAAACGTGCCTGCTCAAAATGTGCCTGTTCAGAACAGGCTGATTGCTTGGCCTCTAGTATTGCTGCTTGAAGCTGTCTCAACATGATTAACCTGCAGAAGCAAAGAGCCCCTGCTGTTCTAGATGCCGCAGTTCCACACTCACAGTTTTAGACATGAGCTACACCTAAATAATTATTAATAATATTAATTATTATTGTTTTTTCTTCTTATTTGTTAAATGACATTTAGTTAACTGAATGTAGCCCAAAGACACTGTATGGCTGGGTCCCCTGCTCTTTCTGTCTTCCAAAATCAATTTAAATGAATAACCTGACCCAATGGCAGCATATACATGGAGAACAGTAATGTACCCAGGATTGGCCGTTGGGGAACTCCATGAGTGAAATGGGAAACATATGATGGGGAATTTACAACAATAACAGAAAAGTGTCTTTTAGACAGATAGGAGGATGTAATAAGTTGAGAGCAGATGCTTTTAGACCAACCCAAATTGCAGGACACTGTAATAGGATGGAGTCGTCTACTGTATCACTGGACCACAATGAAGCTTTCACATTTATCTGCAGAAAGGAGTGAGTATTTTGTCACCTTAATTAAGACCATTTCACAGTACTGTGTAGAGCTCTAAAACCATACTGGGAGTTCATACAGGCAATCAGTTGAGAGGCAATAATAAGATATAACATGTATGTCTGAAACAATCAGAGTCCTAATATTGCTCACCTTTTTGACATAATACTTTTTCCTCTGTAGTAGAGGGGGAAGAACTGCTGACAACAGAATAAATTACCTTGAACAAGATTTTGGAGTTGTGGAAATCAAACTGGAGAAACAGGCTGATCTTGTTTCTTTAACAGCAATCTAATACGTTGATCGTGTGATTTCTCAGGATGTCAAGGAAATTTGTAACCTATTAGCCTTCATACATTCAGCTTTTCTACATTGTCTCCTGAGGGGCCCTGTGTGCCATTGAGCCATGGAGAGGGATTATTTTTTTTATTTCGAGAGGAGCAATATGGTCAAGGAGAGAGGCAGATATTGTTAAAAGAATTAGCAAAGGCATCTGTTGCTGCATAAAACAGCTCAAGATTAAGATACTGAGGGAAGAGTGACAGAATTTGTTGCAGAATAAACATTAAGAATTTATGACAGGACAGAGGCTCATTGGGAAGAGATAGGAAACATTAAAAACAATAGAAACGAGGATTAAAAGGACAACATACATAGATATTGAAGTCACTAAGGTTGAGTACTCTGTCATATTTGGGTATAACAAGAGAGAGGTGCTCAGAAAATTCATGAATAAAAACATTTAACTTCTGGTCTGCATAACAGTATGCAAAGCAGAGGAACTGGACCAGAAATTAAGGCTTTCTCCAACAATCTAGGTTTCTTTGTGCCAAACAGCATTTCATTTTGTTTGTATCTGTGATCTTGGAGGCAAGATAATGATCTTATCCTCCACAGACATTTATTCACACCTGAGTGAACTTCCTGACCCATCGCCGCATACTTTTTCTATATCTGCAAATGGCTACAATGCATACTATTGAATTTTATTAATCATAAAATAATGAATCACCCAACAATTTCTCACATTTCTTATCAATAGCATGTCCCCTGCTATCTTATAATGCTTTGAGAGGCACCTTCGCCTCTTGTCACACCCCACGTCTTATATTACCCAGATTTGGGTAAACAGCTGTATACAGGATACATAGCGCTGGGGGAATACATGGGGTTCATTCTGATTGGCCAAACCAATAGTATATATATTTCACAGTGCATAATCTGCAGAAGTAATTTGGCAAGCCTTTAAAGCCTGACAGTGCTTTGCCTGTGGTAATAAAACTAGGGTTACAATTTATACATTTAATTACACACACAAGTAGGGAACAAAAACTAACCTGATATGCTAAGTAGAATACTTTCCATCACCCCTAGCAATTACTGATGGCTTTATCCACATTTTGATTACAGCATTTATGTGAGGTGTCCTTCACAGCTACAAAATAACTTGGAGTGGATGAAAACTGGTTTGGTAAGCAACCTGTGAAATAGCAGGTGCTTAGTAAGCAACCTGTAGAGATGTCACAGACTTGAACGCGTAGGACATTAAATAAGGCATTCTGTCAGTGCTTGCACATATGGAGGTGGGATGTTAAGATGACAAAAACTGGGTTGCAAGGGATTAAAACAGTGCAGATTATTTTTTTCATCCAGTCATGTCTTTTCAATTTACAGGATGGGATTACTTACAGACAAGGGAGGTGATTCCAAAAACTTGTTGTTGGGGTAGTTCATAGTCCAAAAACAACCCCACTTTTTTAAAAACTGTTTCTGCCATTATTCTACCTGGACTACCTGGCCTTCTCTGTTGGAACATATGACAGCATCTACAACAGGTGGCACAACAAATCTCAATGCCAGCTGGCAGCACTCAAGATCTGAGAAAAAATGAATGTTGATGGCGCGACTGTGATTTTGCAGCACATCGTGTGATGAGAAAGCATGTTATTAGAATTTGGAAAGACAGAAAACCAGGAAGTTTTGCATGATGCAACGTAAATCAGTTCTGAGCCAGGAAACATTTTATAATCAGTATGTAAGGGATTCTCAACAAAGAATTTAATTAAATGTGTGTTTGTAATAAACTCCCTTGTGATTACTTGGCTTACTTTGAACTTTGAAACTCTATCCACTCCTCTGAATGCATAAAACTGCAAATGCTTAAAAGAAAACACAGTTCCTCAGTGAGTTTTGATCTCGTTTTCAATATTCACAATCTATTAGTTTTTACTTAGTTCTTTTTTTTTGTCAGTATATACACAGTTCAATATTCTAAAGCTCAAAATCACTGAAAACATTTGTATTGTAGCGTTTAAAAAGTATTATTATTGTTATTTTTGGCAGTACATCTTTATTTTCAATGTGTCCCTTTAAGTTGAGCACAATTTTCGTAGTGTATTTAAAATGTGCAGAGAAGCTCCTGACCCCGTTTCCTTTTTCCTTTAAAAAGTTGCAACAGTCATGGGATTTGTTAAAAGCATACCATACAAAGAATCCGTATAGCTTTATCCTATTGAAATTTAGTCAGCGCGCAATATGCTTAGCCAAGGTTGCTCTTTAAAAAAAAGTCCCCAGTAAGGTTCACAGTTTTTATGTTATGTATGTACCTGATCCTGCACATCCTCATCAGATGTGTATAGAGTAAGAAGATCAAACACAGATTCTGCCTTAATGTACAGTCGGAATTCAGCACTGGCATCCACACCTCTGCATATTTTACGCGCACCGTTGTCTCCACGTCTCCAAAGCTCCCTTTAAAAAGCGGCGCAGCGCAAACGTGATTATATAGAAGGTGTTGGTGTCATGTCAAAAAACATTAAGCGTCACCTCTGACGGACACGCTGGAAGACTTTGATGTGGCTGTGGCTATCAGAGCGTGAATTCGCTCTGGTCCAATAATCTGGCTGCTGAGGAAAAGAGCGTCGACCGCGCGACTGAGCTCTGCGCGTTCACGTGGAACCTATAAACGGTCGTGGCGCGCAGAGCTGAGAGTAGTCGTTGAGAGAGGAGAAGAGGATAATCGTGGCAGGACTGCATCAGTGGCGCCGTGGGAGATAACCTGACACAGCTACAGCAGGAATACTTAAAATGCCATCACCACAAAGTTTTTTCTCTCTCTTTTGTAACACGTAGCTGCTCCAACTTTGCTGTGCAAGGTGATATGTGAGCAAGAGAGTCCAGTCATGCAGCTGAATGAGACTGGAGTTCAAACACTGGCTCCAGAGCCATGTGAGCAGCAACTACTACAAGAGGACAATGCTGGAAACTGTAGCGGAGGTTCCACCAGCAACCTGTCGCTGCACTGCTGGCTGCAGCTCCTCAGCAAGGAATCTATCATGGAATTTCAAGCAGACAGCTCCAGTCTAGTGGTGCGTGTGATGATAGCATGTGTCTACTCTATAGTCTGTGCACTGGGGCTGGTAGGAAACTCACTGGCTTTGTATCTGCTGCACTCACGTTACAGGCAGAAGCAATCATCCATCAACTGCTTTGTGATGGGACTGGCTATCACAGACCTTCAGTTTGTTCTGACTTTACCTTTCTGGGCAGTGGACACAGCCCTGGACTTCCGCTGGCCATTTGGCCGCGTGATGTGCAAAATCATCAGCTCTGTCACCACCATGAACATGTACGCCAGTGTGTTCTTCCTCACAGCAATGAGCGTGGCACGTTATTACTCTATCTCCACTGCACTGAAGATGCACAGCCGGCGGGCTGCAGCCACTAGGGCCAAGTGGACAAGCCTGGGCATCTGGGCTGTCTCTCTGCTAGCCACTTTGCCTCATGCAATTTACTCCACCAGCGCCCAGGTGTCAGATGAGGAGCTTTGCCTGGTGCGCTTCCCAGACTCAGGCAGCTGGGATCCACAGCTTCTTTTGGGTCTATACCAGCTGCAAAAGGTCCTGCTGGGCTTCCTCATTCCTCTGATCATAATCACCGTCTGCTACCTGCTGCTTCTGCGTTTCGTCCTCAGCCGACGCATCACAGGTGCAGCGGACCCAGAGGTTGAGCAGGGCCGGCAAAGTCGTCGCTCCAAGGTGACCAAATCCATTGTCATTGTGGTTCTCTCCTTCTTTCTGTGTTGGCTTCCCAATCAAGCGCTGACACTGTGGGGAGTGCTCATAAAGTTTGACCTTGTGCCCTTCAGCAAGGCCTTCTACAATGCGCAGGCCTACGCCTTCCCCCTGACGGTGTGTTTGGCACACACCAACAGCTGCCTCAACCCTGTGCTGTACTGCCTGATTCGCCGGGAGTTTCGGGCAGGTCTCAAGGAGATCCTCCTCCACGCCACACCATCCTTCAGGAGCCTTACTCATCTGCTGCGTCGCAAGGCCAAAGTGGCTGAGGCGCCGCCTGTTCTTGTGCTGGTCCAAATGGATGTCTGACTTGGATGACTGGCTTAATGTGACAGAGGGGCGTAAGGAGTGAATGACAAAGTAAATAAGCCTATATTACCATTGATTTGGAGGTTTACCATGATGGTGCATTTATCTGTATATCAAATATTTTTTTGGCTTTTGAAAACAACTTAATCATAATTGACTACCCAGTGGGATGTGCCCCACTTTCACTGCATGCACCAAGATTTCCTCTGCCGCAAATTGTTATACAATTGTTATACAACGTATCTCTCTCTCTCTCTCTC